AAGTGGAACAAAGGGAATGCATGACTTGTCACCCCAGCTGCTTGCTTTGCCCTCACCCTTGCTGTTCCTGCTTGGCTACTCAGGCCTGACCTAAATATGACGTCCTCAAATGAGACATGGCTTTAGCAGCACCCGGGGAAGTGGAAGCTCTTTGTCAAACACACTCCTTCAGTATTTGCCTTTTCTATCTTGCTTCTTTAAATAGGCTGATATCTTCTCAGCCTCGCCTTGCTCCAGTAATCTTTTGATTTCTGTCGCTACCTGTGTTTCCACTCTGTCTGGCTTTGCCACGTCTCACCCGCTCTGTGTCAGATAGCTGGGGACTTAAGCTTATGGTGGCATTATAATATTACCTAGAAATGCCTCAAATGTTGAATTTATCATAATGCCATATCTCCTATCTCCCATTACTTAGTTAATATGCCAGCCCCTAGTGAAGCGAGCTTGTAAATAAGATGCGTCTCAGAATCCAGGAACTGTCTTCTCACTCTGTTGATCTGCTTTTGCCCTTTTATACTATAAAAATGCACTTCAGCACCAAGACTCAGTTCACTGAATAGGCTTTCACTTCAAAACACGGGAAGGGTGTCATCTGTTAGGTAGCACGTCATGCAGTGCTGCATGAATTAAGACTGTTGTCATTTGAAACATAACCAAAGCTGTATCAATGAAAGAACCACCTTTCTTTGAAGCTGAAGTAATTTGAGCACCCTGTACAAGTAACCAAACACGTTGTAACTATTGCTCTGACAAAATTAAAACACAAAAAAGCTCTTTGTGGGTTTTGCAGATGCATGGTCTCTGAGTCTGGGTGACACCTCTTGGATTCTCCTTTGAAGGCAAAATGCATTTACCATAAAATTACCACATGCGGAAAAGAAGACTGTTGGCAAATTGAGGAAAGTATGTGATCAGCATGTGCCACATCAGTGGAATTTTATTGGTAACAAGTTGGTAGATAACCTAAACAATTTAAATGAGATTGCAGTTGGATGCAGTAGCCATTTTCACATGGTGTTTCACATTCGAAGTGTATCTTCTAGGAGCATCTGACCATGAGCTGCAGCTCCTCTGGTTCATAATGTCATTTCGCACCTCTCTACCCTCATATTCTGTTAGCTTTCACAAACATCTATTTGTTTTACAATATTTGTAAATTATTTTGTGTCAGAATAAAAAGGCAGAATCTGGGCAGAGTCAACGATGCATGTGCAAGATCTTGTGCGAGCTCTCTGCTTTTACTTTCCATTAGCTCCTCACACTCAGGTCTTGGGTTTACTAATGAAGAAATACAGTATGTCATGTGTTTTTGAACAACAGAGATCTGTCACACATATGAATAAGCTAATCCAGGACTGACAGCTGACAGACATTAACCGTGAATAGACGCAATTCACTGTCAGTTTTAGTCTCTGTATGGCGAATGAAAGGAGAATGACCGGCCTTATCCTTTAAATGCAAAATAACTGCAGTGCTGGTGGTACAGAGCTAAGAGCAACTGACCTGTCACAGATTTGGTCCTTAAAACAGCAAAGTGACCAGGTTCTTTCAAGTTGTGTTTTGAGCATGATTACACAATGATACTTAAAGGACAGATAATCTGATGCTGTGACCTGAAGTAATGGCAGGTTGAGGGTTAGAGTCTGTATTTAATGGACATTGGCATTAATGTCATATGTATCTGACATCTGAAGTTTGGATTGTCTCGTTAATAACTGTGCCTGTAGTGCCCTGTTCCTCAACAAAAGTTCATTGAGCTCATAAACGATAATGTTCCATAAATGGTAATATACCGTATCTTCATAGAAACATAAAAGCTAAATTGACTCTAACAGCTCAATAAAACTGCAATAAATTTAACCGAGTCACAGTTTAGTCCTCAGTATGTTGCTGATTTAAATGTTCTCTAAATTGTTGTTTCCTTCTCCTTGAACTTTCATTTGTCAAAGAACATACAGCATTTTCAGTAAGTCTCTTTTTCCACATATATACAGTTAAGATTTTCCACTTTAGTGCTGCTTAAAAATTAAGATAAATTTTAGTTACAGTAATAGCGAGGGAAACTTTTCCTGTTTGGAGCTGAACTGAGACTGAGACTGAGATGCAGGATGTTGGTGCTGAAGGGAATAATAAACTCACCCACCACCTTGACTTTGCATCTTTACTTTCCAGTGAGCTTTTTAATGTTAAGATGTTTCCTGTCGCTGGCTGTGCCTGAGTTTATTTATACAGAAATATCTGTTCCCCTCACCTTACCTGTATATGCCATTATATCATGTCCTTGTCATGAAGTGATAATTTATGTCACTGTGCTTCAGTTGGTTTTGGAGTTCCTGTTTGTGTATTGGTCACATTAATAGAATAATCACTGTGAATTGAAGCGTTTGTCTAGCTGTCTCGAGAAAGACTAATCCCAGATTTGTGGGTCCATTTCCAGAGTACAAACATGTAGCTAAAGGCTATTTTGATATCTATTCACAGGACTAGAGCTGCAGGCAAGGAATTCAATTACTCTAAAATATTACTTTTTGTGTTCTGATTATGCAGCTTGATGGTTTTTCTCGAAGCTGGAGCAGCAGATTAAATGTAACAGAGGCCAATGTGACAAGAGCTTTACCAGAGATTAGCTTTGACCAGCTCAACACCTCCTGGCTGTTCTCTTCTTTAATGCAAAATGCAGCACCATGTTGCAGCTTTTCATGAATAGAGCATAAATTCATAGCATAAACTCAGTAATACAGGTTATGGAAAGATTGTTCCACCACCACAAAAGGTTTACGTGGCAAATTGAAGTGCCAGTGTTTCTTCGGTGAATGGTGAAGAAGGCAGGGCTTCATAACCATTCACTGATTGTATTAGGAAATAGCAAACATCTCCTAAACATCTCATCGCTATTGTTCAGAGCACAACATGGTCCCATATACAAAAACACAAAGATTTCAATTTACAGTGATGTGCTTCAAAAGATAATTTTTCCACAACAATATACACCCTGAAAGTCACAGATCTTCACAGTCAGAACCTTGAATCAGAGAATGTTTGGCATGTTTGCTTCATAACTTATAGTACAGCTACAATTTGTAAGTTAAGGTAGCACTAGCATGAAACTCCAAATCAGTCCAGTCTGCTCTGCCCAGCACTCCCTCTCCCTGCACCACTCTGCTCTACTTGATGCTCCGCCACGCTCTGCCGAGCTCTTAAGATATCTGTTATGATCAAGCTCTGATTGGTCAGAGGTCAGTCCTGCTATCAGAACCTTTTAGAAGATAATGTCTCTGTACTGCTGCCAGTGCTGTTCAATGAGCCTGGGTCACAGGAGCCTTCAACAGCACTTCTCCACATTAAGACAAGTTTTGGAGCAGATTTCTACAAGAAGAATATTTGAAAAATCTTGCATATTGTAGCTTTAAACAATCTGTTATTTAAATATTTGTTGAGTAATTTTATGTTGGAAATAAATTCTTACTGGAAAAAATAAATGTAATCCTAATGAGGTACTGAAATCATTTTAAGTTTTAGTACACGGAGCATTTTACTTTTTGAGTTCATGAAATTTCATGAGATTTTCCTAAAACCAAATACAGAGAAGTTATTTTTGAATCTTCCGCTTTACACTGTTAGAGGCCTGTAGTGTAGCAGGCTACACCAACGGTGTGAATGTGTTTTACCATGGAGTTTTGAGTTCAGCCGACATTCTGGAGAAAAAACGTTTTCTTTTTATTACAAAGCTTACTACATTCTGATAATGCATGCCATATACTGCACTGTAACTGTGAGTATGTCACTGCAGAGACATGTACCTTGGGATAAATTGTCTGTTAACCTGGCAGGGACATGATAGCTTGTGATTCATAAGTTTTCATACATGCAACAGCTTCCTTGGCTCTGTGCTGCAGTGACACGTTGCCTATGGCAATCAGCTGCATTGCGTTGTAGGCAAGTTGGGCCCTGGCTGTTTGTCTCCTGAACCCTCCCAGTGTCAAGGACCATCACTGTCAGTGCATGTGACAGGATGAAAACACTGCTGAGGGACCATATACATCGCTTTCTGTCATGCAGAAGCTGCTACAGTGGGATGGGAAAGTGGGATCTTGCAGAGATGCTAAATTTCAGATTGTTTATTTAGAGCAGGCTGGTTTTCTCAGATTTTACAAATGCATCCTATATTGTAAATAAATGTCATGTGTTTATACAGAACATTTAGGATCTGTGAAACATACACACAGACCACAGTCACATCTGTTTGGATGTTAGATGGTTGTATAATTAGATAAGATCACAGTGACAGTCTAGTCATGATTTAATGACTCCTTCCACAATCACATCTGAGCTTGTTAAGTAACAGTTGGAAACTGTGAAATTTTAAAATATTGACTGCTGCTTTTTAACAGGTACTGTATTTGAATCATGATACACAAATGAAACTGGACAAAAGATGCATCAGGATTTGATAATTGGCAAGGAGAATGCTATATTTAACATTTTAACACACTGTGAATTAATTTATTTACATGTAGCTTAGCAGGTAGCACCCAGGCCAATGAGTAGGGGGAGTGCTTAGATAATGGGAACAAATGTGTTGCACTAATTGGACAACCAATAGCCTGAGCCTCATTCAGACTGACAGCAGCACTGTGCCAAAAAGCGCAGGCTTCTCTTTCACTTCAACAGGATAACTGCACATGAAGCACGTGGATCTGGAAAATCGCAAAAAATGGTGATCCTGGTTCAGCATTTGCTATAGTGCTGCCAAAGCAATGTCATGTGGCAGCACACTGTGCTAGCTGCTAACAAAATGTTAGAAATGTTTTAGTGTATAGCTTGTAGCACTGTAAAAGCTAATTTCATAGTTTTTAAAGCAGTACGAGGCAGGATTACAGAGAGCTACAGTGAAACAGGAAGTGGTGGCTCTGTTACCAAAGGTCAAAGCGGTAAAATGATGGCTCATAGGTGTACAGACACTTAAGTGACATTTTTTGTTTGTTGTGTGTTTTCCCCAGACAGCTTTTATTGGTCTGAATGTGCTGCAGGGTCTCCAAGAATGTGGAGGCCATCTGCGACAAGCTGCCAAGCAAATTTAAGTGAGCCTGTGTCCACAGTGGATGTCGGTCACCTTTAACCATCATGTACTCTGCAGCATACGTAAGGGTAAGTACAAGGATTTGGTTGAAACCTAGTCTGATCATACTGTATTTTCTGCTGATCTGCTGATTTATAGTTCAAGGTATTCTGTTGAATGACAAGGCCACAATCCCATCAAGACACTTCTGTAGTAACGTGATCTGTGCTGCCTTCTGCATCGATGAATACTGAGGAATTAGGCTCCTGGCGATGACAAAAATAGCAGAATAAGACACCAGCCTATCATTTCTGCTGCACCGATCATCTAAGTTAATGGTGTATCCATTAATTGTTTTTTTTTTATATATATAAAACAAATGCAGAAATACTTCAGATCTGCTCAGCATATGATTGCAAATTTAAACCCCTCAGGGGAGTCATCAGCATCTGATGATAATCTCCACAGATGTGCCTGATGTTCAGGAAATCTCTAATTAGGACAATATTTGCAACTGGCTTGAAAAGTCCTGAAAAATAATGACTCGTGACTTAGTTTCCCTCCTTTCTATGACACTGTATCAACACCCACAACTACAAGATTTGTCATTTGTCACCCTCCTCCACAGAGATGTTAATATTCAGGATTAACAATAGACTGCCTCTTAGATGAACCATGCTGCTCAAGGACAATTCAGCAGAACAGATGTTTGCTGTCAGGAGGCTCGAGCCTCGACCTTCTATCACTTTACCACTGTACTGTAATCTGGCAGTGCTTGTATCATAAACCAGTCACCCACATGTGCTGTGAATGACCTGTGGGCACACACTGGCCTGGAAGCTCATTATCTGTCTTTGGATTTTTATTCCGGCTTTTTGGGGATGTCAGATTTCACCCCGGGGGAGTTGATGGCCTTGACTGTGTTTCAGGGTTAAAACACCACAACCAAACTCAAGTGAAATTTTGACAACCTTTCCCTCATCTGCATAAACATGCTCTGATCTGGCTACTAAGTGGGATCCACAGTGCACTTCTGGTAAAGTCAGTCTCTTATTGGACAGACTTATTTGACCTGGCTTCAACGGTCGATTCAAGTTTTTCCTCAGTATCTCATCAGCAGATTCTTAGTTATATTAGTAGATGTTTCACTGAATATTTTTTAAACTTAACAAAACGTACAACTGAACACAGGATCTCATATTTCTTGACATTTTCCCTTCAGATGGAAAATGCTGTGTGCACGAGGTAATCTGCTAACAGTGAGTTGGTTCTTGTTTATTTTAATGTGCTATAATGATCCTAATAGGCTTTTGGAATGTCTTGTAAGCAAAATTATAGTTTGTTCAATTTGAAGAACTACAGTAGTTCGTGTAATTTTTGTGGACTCTGTAATACACCTGACTTTAAGGTCGAATGAGCTCATTTAAGTTCACTTTATTCATCATGGGGCTCAGCCTGTGAGGAAGTAAGTTTCCAAAAGAAAGCCTACGTTACAACCTGGAGGGGATGGAGTTTGATAGTTGTGGATGTTTACCAGGCAGACGTCTAAGGCTTTGGTCACATTACACCTGCCCTACAAACAGGCGCTCCAGTTTTTGTTCAGCTCTGTTGCAATTTGAACAAATTGAAACGTGTGTTTCCTGTATCGTCCGATCTCCACCCTGACCACTGAGCAGCTTCACTGGAGCTACTGGTGCTGATATTTCATTTTCCCCTCTTCACACACAGGCATCTCTAACCTCGTGCTAACCTCCACCGCCTTTTGGAGCTAGGGTCTTAAGATTTGGGCTATATTTGCTTCTGCTGCAATAGACTGACCACAATGTAATTATTTTTTAATTTAGTTTTTTATGTTTGTCTCTTTAAAGAATCCCAAATTTGTGGTAAAATAGTACTAATTTCCTGGATCCAATATAAACATTTAAATTTGCTTTATAATGCTATATGTAGTCTCTGTTAAAGACAGAGAAACTTTCAGACTGTTGAGCAGAGACATTTAAGAACAAAGACCGAAGACTGAATTAAAACTAAGTGTTAAAGTTTGATCCTTGTTCTTGAGTATAGTCAAGATTTATCACAATTTAACCTTAAAAAGATTAATGCAGATATCTCCTCCTCAGAAGATGAAAGACATATAAAACCAAAATGTATGCTACTTTATAATTCCAGTAATTCTCTGATCTCTGAGCGCCTCAATCAGCGCCTTTGTCCTTGGTTGGAAATCTTTTGAAGTATTTCGTCTTCAGTTTCTTTCATGTCTATGCGTTCTTCACTGAACCCCAAAGTCCCTTTATGCATCTGTGCCATGAAAAAACACCCCAGACTCCTTTTTGATGAGCACATGTAACCTGAGATCTAAGAATCTGCCTTGCACATTGTACCTCACATCACACCGGTGGGGGGAGACGTATGTAGAGCCAGCAAGGTGGACCAAAGCACACCGGCTGTGATGGTTGCTGAGGGTTTCCCTGGCAACGGTTACTTCCCTTGTATGAATGCCTGATTTGTTCTTTGCCAGACCTCTGTTATCTGAATTTCACCTACAGTAGGCATAGTTCTGAAGAAGAGGGGGGAACAGACACTAATGAGAAAACACTTTCCAGCAGGGATCTGCAGCACAACAGTGGCTGCCATCATCTCCCCAGTCACGCTCACCCACAGGCGTGAAATGATACCAGTAAAACTGCAGCAGCATCTTAGTGCACTCCATCCTCAAGTGATGGTCGACTTAAACCAAGATCTATTATAAAAAGGAAAGAATCAAAGAGGCTTCAAATCACACCAGTAGGCTAAATCAGCTATGAGGATGAAAGTAAACGTCCTGTGGCTGAAAGTCGCATGGCTCCTGCTGCGTGCCCAGTCAAGTTTTCTGTTGAGGTGTCCTTGATCACAGCACAGCAACACTGAACATACACACCCTGTAAGTCAGACTGGATAGGAGCAAAAGAAAGGTACCTGAAAAACTAAACTCTCTCTCCTTCATTGGGATGCCTTTGTTATAGCCCCTTTCAGACACCCGCCTTAGTATTATGTTAATGTAATTTCATTTCTACATTATTCTCATGTCTGTTGGTCTTACAAAACAGTTGGGGTGCAATTATTATGAAACTATTAACCTTTCTGCAACAGAAGCCTGAAAGGAATCCTCTTGTATTAATGCAATATAGCCTGTTTAAGAGTGTTTCTCATGCCAGTATCATCATCTACGCTCAAAGACAATAGTAAAAATCATAATCATAATAATAATTTATTTGTTTATATAGCGCTTTACAACACCGAAGGGAGCTCAAAGTGCTTCATAACAGAGTATATAGGAATAAAAGCAGAACATGTTAAGACACATAAACAACAAAAGTAAAGTTAAAATTACACATTTTTAAAACAACGGTCTGTGAGCAACTAAAACACTCTTGCACAATAAAAATGAGTCAAAGATGACAGAATATAAAATCTGAAAGTCTGAATAGGTGTGTCTTTAATTTAGACTTAAAAACCATTAACTCTATTATAGACTGAAGCTCAGGGGGCAAGGTATTCCAGAACTAAACCATTTTAATAGACTATAAACACTGTGAATGAGCCTTTTTGATGTTGTTTGCAAGCTCATTCTCATGTCAAATCAATCAATAAAATGTTTTCCCCTCAAGCTGTCGCTCCTGTTCTTGTGCTTCTTTTTGACTTATCGTATGTTGTTCGGGTAAATACAACAAACAAAGGAGCTTTTGTTCTTGCTGTCAGGTGGTCGCCACCACGTCTTGTTGCGTGCATGTGGGGAATGTTCTTATGTACGTTTACCTCCAATTGTAGTAGGAACAGAGACGTGTCCGTAATCAACGCACTAAACGGAAATGTACAAAATCTAATGGCAGTCCACCAATAGTAGTTGACATGTATAATAAAAAACCAATTAGTCCAGCTGTCACTGTTCTTATTTTAAATGTTCACCCCTGCCAGTGCAAGAACGAATAAATATTGATTGAAACACATTACATACAGCATGTTGACATATGGGGATTAAACCAGCGTCCCAATTTTGCAGCCTGTCATTCTGTCAGATTTCACAAGTCAGGCAGCAAAAGATTACTGTAAGACAAGAGACAGTGTGTATCCTTTGTGTTCCCAATATTACTTCACTGGCAAAATAAGCTTTAAAACCAATCACTGAAATGCCCCCTTTGGGTTAAATAAAGCACTCTATTGATTAGCTGTTATTGAAAACAGTCTGCTTTCTTCTTAACATGAAACAACTCTGCTGTTTTCCAGCAGTGATATGGCTTTGTCTCACACATTAGCTGCCAGATATCACACCAGGCCAGCACTCTTTCTGTTAACGTCCTGTCATGTGTGAAGAAAGGGACTGTGCCCTGTGTCTGGTAACAAAAGCATCATGCCTGAAAAGGGCTTATGATCTTGTATATCAGCCAGTATATTGGCATGTCTCAGCTGTATGTTGGTGAGAGTGTGGGTGGGTGTGAGGGAGGGAGGCTTCTACACCGCAGCGAAAAGCTGTTTAAAAAAAAAAGTTTGAGAAAATATGTCACTGCTCATTTGCTTCTTGTGGGTGTCGGTGATGGGCATTTGTTGCTGCTTTGCTTATATCACCTCCGCCGAGCTCGGAGCCCACGCAGCACTCAGACAGTTCGATCCAGAGAATGAACGTGTCAGTCAGCTGCATCAAACGTTCAGGAGATTATTAAGATGTTGTACAGTGTAAAATGTCATGCGATGATTATAGAAGACATGATGATGAGATGTCAGTAATTACCCAGCAACATAATGTTCATCTGGCAGGGGCTGATATAACAGCGGGTGAATTCTGGATGTGTAACGGTAACATTTTCCTATTATGGAGTGTGAGCTGTATGCTAAGATTCAGAGATGCTCTATGCAGGGTTTTCAGCAGGTTTTTAGATGGCTTAGGTGCTTCTTGGGGGTGGGGTGGTGGTTGCCAGTCACCTCTGTTATTTTTCAGGGCATATAAATCACATGTTTTTACATTCATTCAGCTTAGGTGCTCCACAAAACACACTGGTGTGGCTGATATTGGACTCTGTGCTCAATGGAATTTAGTTCGTGGTGCATAAACCTCTGAAATGTTAGGCTGGCAATCTGTCCAGGGTGTATCCCACCTCGCGCCCAATGTCAACAGATTTTTTTTAAAGTGACAAGGCCATAATACACAATGAGCAGGACAATTTACAGTTGTAAAATTCAACAGATTTGTTGTTATCCCTCGATTTCATACATTAAATAAAATTTGCATATTACTGATGGAACACTAATTCCCCAGATGTTCATTTAGCTCATTAATACTATAAGCCAACAAGTTCAGTAGTGTATGAAAAATGTTTGCTAATTAATTAGAAGGTAACTGAGTTTTTTTGTGAACACGATAACTCAAGAACAATACACAGTAGAGGCGTCATATTTAAACCACAGGAATGTCATATGGAGGTGTTATGATTAGACTTCTCTTGCCTAAATTTGCATATTAATGAGGTGAAACATTTCTTTTAAACTTCTGTTAACATTCTTGATGACTTTTGAAGACTGACTACAAGATGAACAGCACTTGTTGAAATAAACTTTTTGCAGCTTTTTGCTCTAGAATTCAGTGATTCATTCTTTAAATGTCTGTTGGTAGAGTCCAACCACAGCCTGAAGCGAAGAGATGCCCACATCCACCCAGCGTAAACAGAGAGCTCCATTCTAACATCTGCAACAAACTAAACGGCATTGGAAACTATTCACAGATTATTTTCCTCACTTGTCTTAGATTTAAATGTAATTCTAAATAATGTTTTCCAGCAAACAGCACAGAGTAGAGTGAATTCATGCACCACGTTGTCATAGAAATGAGGAGCTCTGCAAGCCCCAGAGGTTTTCTACAGACCAGCCTGCATCAGACCAGATGTGACAGAACACTGGGTTTATTATGCTAAATATTAACAAGGCATCGCTGCTATTTAAAAGCAGATGACCTTTACTTGCACCATCTAGATTTTAGTGAACCCAGAAATAATAATGAACCCCCTAGGGCCTTTTCTAATCAAAGGAATGATCATTTGCGCACGTGTTTGTCTCCTGAATAATTGTGTGCGTTTGAACAAACAATTTTCATATGGTTTCTATTCATAGTCTTGCATCATGTAGTTGATGCACTCATGAATGAACACACGACTTCACGGAGCAGTGGTCCGTCAGATAGGAACAGGCCATGAGCCCCAATAACATATGGCGCAGGGTCTTATGGGATTACCCAATTAACAAGGTGACTCCAAGAGCTGTTAATCTGCAAAATGTTCCGCTGGGGTATGGACAGATTGTGACGCATGGAGGGGAGCTGCATGTTTTGACAATCCACGACCCAATTAAACACACACACCCCATGCGTATTTGGATAATAGTATTATGTGTAAGGCCACTCGCACTGAGGCTTTCTTGGTAGGGGGGTTCTAAAAATATTCACTCAGGCAAAACCTGTCTGTAAACCGGTCACCAGCACGTGATGCTGTAAGAAAATGTTTATTAATTGTCATCAGCATGACACAAACTGCGCCGCAGGCAGAAACAGCACAGATCTGTGCGCAAATCAAGACGCGCGCTGAATGGCGGGACGTGGCGCACAAGCGGGACACAAATCTGTGAGTGGACACCGTTTCACGCAGTGAAACAGAGGACCTTGCTGAGCAGGAGGACTATAGGTAGCTCGGAGTCATTCATAAAACTAAATGAAACATCATTGAGCGGAGATCTGAAACAGTAAAAAGTGCCAAACGGCATTTGGGGATCCCGTAAAAACGTAGATTTGAACGGACTACTGTTGAGCTGGCTTGCGTATTATTCCCGAAGCCAACCAGTCCCAGAGTAGAACCCAACAGGATCCACTCTCCTCATGTCTCCTAATCGCTTGGTACAGTCAGTTAAAGGTCCATAAGTTTTTATTCCCTTGACACCCCTGTCAGTACCTGCCACATCACCCAGGGATTTCACCTACTTTACTGTGAGACTGGATGAGGATGCTCACCTTGTGGGAAAGCGCTGGGTTGCACCACATACAGAAAAGCCCGTAGCATCTGGAAGAGAATCCCTATCGGCCCCGGTTCGTAATGGGCCAGCGTCTCGTAAACTCCTCCAGGCACATAACCGAAATCCAACTTTCCCGGCGGTGGGAGTCTCCGTGGCTCCCTCTCCTGATGGAGTTCGCCGGACGCTAAAAGCACCCCCAGCAGCAGGAGGAGGACTCCGGTCTTCCACATCGTCGCCAAATACAACCCCAGCTAGTCGTGAAACGGGGGTTAAATAAAGATGGATGCAGGCTAGAAGATGACTGATCCTTTCTTTTCAACGGGGAAGGGACATAAAAGGCGAAGAGACGAGCGTAAACGTAAAAGTGTCCAGCTGGATGGACCGCAGCGTTTTAAGTCCTGCTGCCCGCAGAGAGACTCATTCCGAGCATCGCTGCCCGCGGTCTGGGGCTCCTTGACGGACGCAACGGCGGGTGAAATTTACCTTCGTCTCCGGTCTTCGATGGGTTCAGACCCAACGAGATGAGCGCGTGTTGCTTCCACTCAAGCTCTATGCGCTCGGGAAGGCGCAGCGTCACGGGAGCGGGCGGGAGTGCGCGCTGCCGTCACCTCTATAGAGGATAGCACTCCTCCTGCCGGGGAGAGGATGGTGGAGGTACAGAATAGGAACAGCTTGTTTATCACTTGATCCAACAGTAACCTTTCTCTGCTGTAGAAATGTCTAATGGAAATGGGCGTTGAGTGAGTACATTTACTGTAACGGCTGTAATTAGAGTAGTTGCCCTTAAAGATGAAATAAATATTCAGATCATGAAAGTACAAATTCATCCATTACCTATGGTTCATGGGGGGCTGGAGTCAAGTAAATGTAGTGAAGTATAAGTACAATGTTTACTATTTAGTAGAACTATGTAGTGATAAAGTATAAAGGAGCAGAACATGGAAATACTCAAGTAAAATTTAAGTACCTTTATTGTACTGAAAATACTTGAGTAAATATACTTAGTAACTTTCCACCACTGCTTGTACTTCACAGTTTTGCTGACTCTTTTACTGGAGTGTATTCAGAGAGATAGCTACTGTACTTCTTAACCCACACTGAATTAACTGACAGCTGCAGTTACTTTACAGTACATAGGACCAAGTTGATAAAATCTGGTAAGTGCTCAAAACATTAGCTCCACCTCAGCTGCTCAGATGTTCATACACTGAGGCGGACTGTTCTGCCTGTTTGTACTTTTACTCATGAACATTCTCAGTGCAGGACTTCTACTTGTGAGTATTTGTTCATTGTAGTTTTGCAACTTGTTAAAAGAATGTGACAACTTCCACAGACGTGTGGTAGAGTTGTCTCATCTTAGAGTACAGATACAGTGGAACCACACTGTTGTTAAAGGGCACATGCTGTCGTTAACTCCTCTACTGTGGTGGGAGAGTCTGGACTGATCTAATTTGTGGCCGTTCATCTTGTGATTGTTTCATCCAGTTTTTATTCTGATTAAGGTGCTAGCAGGGCATCACCTTTATAGTAGTAACTGCCTTAATATTCTGATCTTCCTTGTACAGTAGACAACATAAACTAACACACCTGTCAGGCTATTTTTTTGCTTATCAAGCCCCCAGCTCTTCTTGTATTGTTCTGTATTTAACTTAGTTTGAATATGTCTCAGAGGCCAAAAACACCTTTTGCCCGTCTCCTGTTAACAGGTGCTCCCTGTCTTTCTGATCTATGGCCTCATCCAACCCGAGGGCAGACACAGGATACCGAAGGTGCAGCCCCGAGGTGCACTGTGATTGGTGGAGCAGCGATCAGGTGGGTTTTTCCTCTGTCCCCTTGCACAGTAACACCTTTGTCCTCTCCCCGAGGCCCCTGAAGACAAACCTTTGACCACGATTTTGAGCACCTTTCTTCACTGATTAGGGCAGATGGGACTTCTGGTGGCATATACAGTTCTCATGCACCAAAGAAAAAAAAAAGTGATTGTTTGATGATGTACTTTGTCAGTTGAGCCAAGAGTATCAGTACTTGAACATTGTCTGCGTCAGCGCTTCACTGATTTAAATGGACTGTATTTATATAGCGCTTTTATGCACTGGCCAAAGCGCTTTACAGGGAGATTATAC